TTAATACTGTCTGCACAGTTTTTAGACGATATTTTAATTGTTCATGATGAAGTGAACGATGAATAAAGAAATCATTAAAAGAGATTTTTTTTTAAATTCATACTCCCTCTGCTTTTTTATAATTATCTCAAACGTCTAGAATCTAGTTGGATGGTATCTGAATTCTCAATGCGTGAATGTCTCACAATAAATTCTGGTAAATTCTAGTTTACAATAAAGTATAATAATTATTTTCTTAAAGTATAACATGAGAGCTCGATGTAAGAATAACTTGAAGCAACAACGTTGTTTTTGTACAAACAAATAACATTTTTTTTACCATGGAGCGGTCGTAAACATTTTAGTTTCTTTTAATGGTATTATTATATAAATAAAATAATGCAGTAATCGTTACCGTGACATCAAGCCCAAATTTCTATGAACTTTCGCCCGTCTCCTTTGCCTGCTTCTTGCGCCAGATGTCAGAATCTAGTACGTTCGTTAAATTCTACCTACATATTTTTTTTTGAATTTTTATGGAAAAAGAAAACTAGGATTTTCTCCTGTATTTTGGGGGCAGTTCACATACATAAATTTTACAAGGACAAACATCCATACCCGGAACAATTATTTGTGGGCCATACAAATACTTGTTCCGTGCGCTGCATCTCATTGCACCACAGAGCCGTCTATATTTGGAAGCTTCTTATAGGCACATAAGTTTTAATATAGTGATCAAGATTGTAAGTGTAGCTGTAAGCTCCCCGAATAAAATAAAATTTACTCAAAAACGCCACCGGCTACTGCGAGCATGCTTTAATTTTAGGCTGTCTGTGCGGAACGGTTGCGTAGAAGCCTACACGCGGTCAGAGGCGTGCACGCGCCGGCGAGTGCGTGGAGGCTTCTACACGACCGCGGTTTTGTTATTATCAGTGGCCTCTATCAGTATCGCTTCAACTGACAAGGATAGTTGTAAACGTAATTATATTCAGACTCTTTATATGCGACACATCCACCTGACATTGTGAGTCACCCCGAGTTATTCAACTATTCTCAGCTGTTGTTAATGCCGTTAGATTTGAAGTAGCGATTATTAGAAGTAGCCTATCGCCAAGTTTTAATACCAAATGTTCCGCTACCCGATTTATAGTTATAATAGTGGCACAGGGGCGTGACGCAGTGGCTTAGCAATAAGTTGCGGCGCCGAGGGCCGCAGGTCTGAATCCCGCACTGAACAAGTATTTTTGTGATTAAAATTTTATTGTTCCGTGTCTGTATGTTTGTCCTTGTGAAATTTCTGTATATAAACTGCATGTAATCTCATTACATCGACATGGTCAAAAATGTTACCTGTGTTACATTTTTGCTCTCGGGCTACGAATATCGGGATAAGCTCTACTGATGTACACTTCATAAGGGAGATAATGTCCTCAAAGTCTCGTCTATTATTTCATCTGATTTCCCCTTTCTCTTTACGTTTTCCTCGAAATTTGCACTGATTGATAAAGCAAATCGTTCGCAGTTCGCAGTTGCAGGCGAACTATGCTTTCTTCATTCATCACATCCACTTTATTCTGAATATATGACATTACTTAACTTATGACAATATTACAGCTGTTACATTTTACTACATACACCGATATTGTATATAACGCTGTACAACCCTTTCTATTTTTATTTTATACTTTACTTTTTAATAGTATACTTGGCTATAAATTACATATCACTATTACCGCCATCTGGATGGCAGTCCACCACTGTGCGTTTTACTAGGAGTTTTCTTCCTCTTCAAAGTTTACGACTACTTTGAGGAATCGTGTACCACAGGTGATTTTTTCGGACCGATACGACTTAGGGACCTTCAAAAAATAAGCTTACTCCTTTTTAAAAGGCTGGTTACACATCTGCAATTCCCATGGTGTTGCAGTTGTTCATGGGCGGCGGTCGGCTCTTAACATCAGGTGAACCGCGTGCTCGTTATATGCATAATTTGCCCCCTCTTCTATAAAAAAAAACATATAATATACAAATAATTATTTAGTTCAATATGGTGGTCACCATTTCACCTTGTATCCAGTTCTGAGATATGTTTAAAGTTTAAACTCTGGCTTTTCGAGAAGTTAGTTTAAATTAATTGCCAAATTTGTATCATTTATAACAAAGTTGTATATTTTATGTAAGGATATAAGAAAAATGTTTGCGTTTTGTCATCGTCATCTTTACAGACTTCACAAGTCCACTGCTGATCATTAGGCCTCAAAGCACGGTCCAGAGCCCCTGCATTCATCGACTATCTGATATCTAACTAGGTTGTTACGCCATTTTGTACTTGTACTATTATCTGTTCTGTGATCCTGTGAAGGGTCGCCTTACACTTCGCCTACCGGTACTTAACTTTCTTTCCCATCATTCTACGGTTCTTCGAGCTTGGCCGGGGCATTGCCACTTCAGTTTACTAACCTTTTTTTTTTAATATTATAACATTATACTGGTGAATCATATGTTTCCAAAACCGGAGCGAGTCACTATCTTTCTTTACATAGTATAAAATAAAGTCGCTTTTCGCCGTCTGTACGGTAAGATCTTTTAAACTACTCTACTACTATTTTACGTGGTAGAGCCATACTGCAGCTATATTAGTAGTATAGTTGTAGCACGAATGGGTCGGCTCGACCAGGGAAGGACCACGCTCTCACAGAATACCAGCGTAAAATAGAAGCTTAATACAGCTGTGTTTCGTATGGTGAGTGTAGAAAACCGGAGACCATTTTTATAGGAAATGAGGCAATCCATCTTAATCCTCACGGGTGACAACGCATCTGCATTTTGATTTGTAATCGAGGATAGATGTAGATGTCTATGGGCAACAGGAACCACTTACCAACAGGTGGACTGTGTGCTCGTTTGTCACCCTATCCTATAAAAAAAAACTACGCAACGGATTTTAATGCGAGTTTCATCAATAGATAAAATGATTTACGTGGTAGTGCCACGCTGCAGCTATATTACGTTTGTAGCAGGAATAGGTCGGTTCGAACGTGGAAGACCACGCTCTCACAGAATATAATTAATGCTGCTGTGTTTCGTATCTTCGGAATTGAGGCATAATGTCTTAGCCCTCAGGGGTGACAACGCATCTGCATTTTGATTTGTAATCGAGGATAGATGTAGATGTCTATGGGCAACAGGAACCACTTACCAACAGGTGGACTGTGTGCTCGTTTGTCACCCTATCCTATAAAAAAAAAACTACGCAACGGATTTTAATGCGAGTTTCATCAATAGATAAAATGATTTACGTGGTAGTGCCACGCTGCAGCTATATTACGTTTGTAGCAGGAATAGGTCGGTTCGAACGTGGAAGACCACGCTCTCACAGAATATAATTAATGCTGCTGTGTTTCGTATCTTCGGAATTGAGGCATAATGTCTTAGCCCTCAGGGGTGACAACGCATCTGCATTTTCATTCTTAATTGAGGATAAATGTACATGTCTATAGGCCACGGCATCCACATATCATCTCTGATGGTGGACTGTGTACTCGTATGTCATCCTTATTTTATAAAAAAATATTCAAGAGGAGGTTTTATATAAATATTATACATTGTTACGGCCCACAGCTGCCCCTGCAAAGGCCGCCTTGGCTAGGGCCCATAGTAGCCTCTTCGACGGGAAGCCGTGAGTACGGGCCCAAATGGCCTTATGGAAAAATGAACTATCATACTACAAAATTAGGAGAAGGCTAGGAAAATAAATGGTACATACCTGCATCCGAATCTTAGACCACCCCAAGGCTCGATCAGGCCGTAGGTAGAGTATATGCATGTAAAGTGGTGTGTAGTGGTGTGTATATGAAGTTGACCTGGCAGCGCGACGGTTTCCACGCTGCCCCACAATGCCGCATCACTCCAGCAGGTGTCCACCATGGACAGTTTCTTTCTTCGTTGTCACTATTTCAGTCTATTAACTTTATTGTACATTTAAGTAAGTTCAACTCGACCAATTCAACGTTCATCGTAGAATTAACCACGTGATACCCGACACAGTAACGGACAGTAGTTCAAAGTTCAACATTCAATGTCCCGGATTCATTTATCACCAAATTACAATTAGGGAACAAACGCGATCTCTTCATGAGTCACACTGTTCAGGGTTACAAACACAACTAAGTTCCAACTTTCGATATTAAACACCACGCCGCAATAAGAATTCAAAATTAACCTAGCTGGCACGCAAATTAAATAAGAGTCAACAAACAAAAGGCTCTTAACGCGACGGTATAATTAAACAATGATTTCCAGAACAATCACCCGGGAGACACCGTCGAAAAAGGAATGCGTGGTTCGAATCCTAGTCCGTATGTCTACTCGGCGCGCGCGTGCGGAACTCCACGTCACCCAAGCAAGTTAAATATTGCAAAATGCACTTCTACACGTAATCACTATATAATTTGCACAATTACTTTCAAAGACGTTACTTTAATCAGTCAAACACAATACAAGCCTCTTGTCAAGAACTTAAAACCTAGACAACCTAAACCGAGGCGGTTTTCACAAAACCCCAATTACGTAACGAAGAAACACGCACTACATCTAACAATCTAGACCGTACACGAGTCGCGCGAAACTTCTGCAGCGATAACCGAGGTACGCGGATTAACCGTACCGCTGCCAGCGAGCTACTGTTGGACTCGACCCGGCCGCCGGTAGCAACTAACTCCCGCCAACCGCCCACTCGTCTAACGGGTTATGAACGCGCCGCATCAAGCCGAGCGCCCTCCGGCGTCAAATCTTGAAAGCAGCGTTTGAGCGCGAACATACATTATATATTTCTTCTTTCCGAGGGTATGTGACTGAACTCCTTCTAAATGGCTGGACCAATTTTGATGAAATTTTGTGTGTGTGATTAAATTGATTAGAGAATGGTTTAGATTCACAATTAAACGCAGTAGGTGTCGTGGTTGCCAAGATGAAGTCGGTGCGGTACGCTAGTATATCAATAAATAAAACTACTTAAAATTAATTATCAACTATACCTTATTATTATTTCTTTTATAGCAGAATAACAGCCAGAGAATAATACTAATAAATAAAATATCATCAAGAAGGTATTTTTCCATAAAATAAACTTGAACCTTCCCATATCTCGTTCCCATTTATGGACACTCTCAACTACGATAGGAATAAACAGTCCTAAAGTTGAGAAGAATATAGCGCCAACAAGACCAATTAAAAGTTCTAAGTCCGGAACAGCGACAGCCATAACAACTGAAATAAAGTTCATACCATTATTGCCGAAATTTATCTTGAGTTAATACGTAACTTATATAATTTATAGACATTTAATCTTTCCGTGGATTTCGTAAGAGGCGACAGTGGGAAAAAAATCAGAAGGTGGGCAGCAGCATCCTATATTTTAGTCCTAATAACGACTAAAAATAAAAAAGTAGGGGGTCGCTCTACACTTTGCCTACTGGTACAAGGCTGCCACTCGAGAATCTTTTTTCCCCATCGGTTGTCGGTTTTTCGAGCTATATGGCCGGCCCACTGCCACTTCAGCTTACTAATCCGTTGGGCTATGTCGGTTACTCTGGTTCTACTGCGGATATACACATTTCTAAGTTTATCACGCAGAGAAACCCTGAGCATAGCCTTCCCCTAAAATTGCAAATAATAATTTCATTGTTCCCGGTTGGGATCAAAGTCTACAAGTCCAGTAGTCCAGAGTATGTACCATGCTCTATATGTATATATACACTCCTGTATTCTAGTCCAAAGGTTATAGACAACAATTTTAATAACATCTGAGAGGGATTGCATTATAATCCACATTGGCAACAAGCCATCTGTAGCCTTTTTTGTTTTAAGTTGGTTGCAAGTGTCCATGGATCGCAGTAGTCACTAACCATTAGGTAGACTTATTTCGCTTGTCACTTTAATATTTATTGGATTGCCCATAAAAAAATTATGGGCAATCGAATAAATAGTAATCAATTGAATTAAATTGTCAGACATCAAATGTTCAACGCATTACTGATACACAGAAAATAAAGTTTTGTGGTGCGATTGATGCGGTTATTTTCCAAAAAAAAAATTAACAAAATATAAAGTAACATTTGTTTACCAGTCAAAACGACGCTAAAGGTCCTCAGTAATATTTGCCCCAAGCTGTGAAACTTTTGCTTTATTGAACCCTTCATACGTGTCCATATAATGTCCATCGGAGCGTACATTTGAAGGCAATATGTAAAATAAACTGCTATTGCAACCATAACTTTAGCCGATAACGCTAGACTGTAACAAAAATAATGCAACTCTAATACGATTACCTTAAAAAATATATCGATGAAGTTCCTTCGATAATATCATTAAACATGCGTATTCCCAAACGATACAAATGTAAACATAAATAATATACTATAAATAAACGTTATTTTAGGTTTACAGATAATAAATTTACTGCTATTTTTCCAAATAACTACTGAATTTAAGAATATCTATGAGTATTTATTCCAAATAGTATTTCTATACTTCATATAAAATCAAACTCAATTCCAACAATTTCAGATGCTATATTCTTGTTCTTTGTAGAGCCGACCAAAAATTATAAATTAAAAGCTGAAATTAGCCCGGGTCAAATATTATACCGGGAAGTTAAACAAGTTAGTTCCTAGTAACCATGAATCCTACAAAGCCCTTGAAACATTAGTATTTTGAAATAAATTAAAAATAAAAGGCGATGAAATTCGGCGGAAGAAAGGCGTAATCAACGTAGGCAGCGAACGCAAATAAAACTGACGCAGGTATGTTTACTTACAAGAATCTCTGCTGTTTTTTTTTTATAGAATAAGGGTGACAAACGAGCACGCAGTCCACCTGATGGTAAGTGGTTGCTGTGGTCCATAGACATATACATCTATCCTCGTTTGCGAATTAAAATGCAGATGCGTTGTCAGCCGTGAGGACTAAGATAGAACCTCTTTTCCAGTAAAATGGGTCTCCGGTTCTCTACACTCACCATACGATACACAGCAGCAGTAAGCTGCTATTTTACGCTGGTATTTTGTGAGAGCGTGGTCCTTCCTCGGTCTAGCCGACCCATTCGTGCTACATCTATACTATTAATATAGTTGCTGCATGGCTCTACCACGTAAAAATGTTTATTATCTTTGATTGTATATAATCAAAGTTTATAAACGTAGCGTTGTTGTAACTAGTATATATTTTTGGACTGCATTGTTCTTTCACGTTTGTAGAAATTTATACTGTCTTTCCATTTTCAACATTTTTGACTCGAGAGTTATTTATCATCTTTGCAACTTTTTGTTTAATGTAACTTCAACTCATAGTGACGTAGAAATAAATATTTTTTTTTTATAGGAGAGGGGGCAAACGAGCATGCGGCTCACCTGATGGTAAGTGACTACCACCGCCCATGAACAACTGCAACACCAGGGAGGAAATTACAGATGCGTTGCCGGCCTTTTAAATAGGAGTACGCTCTTTTCTTGAAGGTCCCTAAGTCGTATCGGTCCGGAAAAATCGCTGATGGTAATCGATTTCACAAGGAAGTCGTGCGAGGAAGAAAACATCTTCTAAATCGCACAGTGGTGGATCGCCAATCATCCAGATGGTGTGGATGGTATCGGGAGTTCTGCCACGATCTGCGTTCGTGAAATTTGGCGGCTGGGATTATTCCGAACAATTCCTCAGAGCACTCCCCATGGTAGATGCGAAAGAAAATGCAAAGGGATGCAACATCTCTTCGCAGTGTCAATGAATCGAGCCGATCGGAAAGGGCTCGGTCGTCGACGATTCGAGCCGCTCTGCGCTGGATGCGGTCAAGTGGAAGGAGCTGGCACTGGGGAGCCCAGCCGATGGATTGCCGATGATGGGAACAGTATTCCATGTGAGGCCGAACCTGCGCCTTGTAAAGTTGCAGGCGGTGTGCCGGCATGAAATACTGCCCCGCTCTGCTGAGCACGCCAAGCTTTTTAGAGGCCAATTTGGTCTTCTCTTCCAAGTGACCACGAAACTGCACGTCACTCGATAAGTCGGCTCCGAGAATACCGATACTGGCTGAGGAAAGAAGGGGAGTGCCTTGAGGAGATACGACAAAGGGGTTCTTTTTAGCGGTAAACGCGCAAACTTGTGTCTTCTGAGGATTAAACTGGACTAGATTTAGTCGCCCCCAATCCGAGACTTTGTTCAGCAAAGACTCGACTTCAGACACAAGTTTGTTCCGGTACTCGGCGACGTTTTCCCGAGAAATAGTGGCACGGCCGGTGTATAGAGCATCACCAGTGCTGTCATCCGCCTAGCAATTAATGTTACCAGTTAGCAACATATCATTGATATGCAGAAGAAACAGCGTTGGTGATAGCACACAGCCTTGTGGAACACCAGCGTTAATAGGCTTGTAGTCAGAACATGCACCGTCTACAATGACCTTGATGCTCCGATCTGCAAGGAAACTGGTGATCCAATTGCACAATTTCTCGGGAAGCCCATAGGAAGGGAGCTTCGAAAGAAGCGCTTTGTGCCAAACCCGATCAAAGGCCTTCGCAATGTCCAAACTAACGACCAACGCCTCCCCCTTGGACTCTACTGCCTCCGCCCATCTATGGGTCAGGTAGACCAGAAGATCACCAGCTGATCGACCCCAACGAAAACCGTATTGGCGGTCACTAATCAGCTGGTGATCCTCAAGGTACCGGATGAGCTGGCAGTTAATAATGGATTCCATTATTTTGGAGAACAAGGAGGTGATCGCGATAGGCCTATAGTTGGACGGGTCTGAGCGGTCGCCTTTTTTAGGGATCGGGTGGACAAAAGCTGTCTTCCATGAATTCGGGACTACGCCTTGGGAGTAGGAGTACCGGAAAAGACGCGTTAGATTCAATGCCAACTCCGGAGCACACGTCCTCAGCACAATTGGGGGGATTCAATTGGTTGTCCAGGGAGAGAAGTGCTTTGCGAACCGAGCGCTGTGAGAACAGCACATCCGGCATGGAGCACTCACACCGCGGTATGGTCGGCGGTGTTTTCCCCCCGTCATCAAGAGTCGAGTTGGACGCAAAAAGAGAGCCTAAAAGGTCAGCTTTGTCTTTTGCGTCTTGGGCCAGTGAGTCGTCCTCCCTGTGCAGAGATGGTAGTGATGGCTTACAGAAACTCCCTTGGACAGCCTTGGCGAGAGACCAGAATGCACGTGATCTCGAAGGAAGGCAAACTAGTTTCTCGCCAATTCTGCCTATGTGCTCTGACTTTGCCTTGACAATAACTCTTTTGAAGGATCTGGAGGCGAAGTTATACTTCTTTTTAAGCATGTTGGTGTTTACATACCGAGCCGCCGAAGCCTCAGCCCAGACCTGATAGAACTCCTGCTTACTGCGTAATGCATTCTTGCAGCAGCGAACGAACCAAGGCTGAGATCTGCCTCCGGTGGGTACCACAGATGATGGAATAAATAGTTCCATTCCCTGTAGCACCACATCAGTGACAGCGTCAGCAACAGCGCTGGGATCATACGGCGAGAAGCAAACCCGCCCCCATGGGTAGGATGCAAAGAAAGACCGCATTCCGTCCCAATCCGCCGACCTGTAATGCCAAACACGGCGGCAACCTGCAGAACGCAACCGCGAAGGGAGCGTGAGTGGCACCACACTCCGGATCAGACAATGGTCCAAAGAGCCGAGAGGGGCATCGACGGAAACCTGATATCCGTCCGGATGAGAGGTCAGCAGAAGGTCCAACAGGGAAGGTGTATGATCCTCCACATCTGGAATCCGCGTAGGCGAAGTAACCAGTTGTGTAAGACCATATGCCAAGGCAAAGTCATAAACAGATCTCCCCGCATGATCGGTTAAACGTGAACCGAGCCATTCGGCATGGTGGGCGTTAAAATCGCCAAGGATTACGATCTCTGCGGATGAGACCTGTTGTAGCAAGGAATCTGTAGCCATTTGGACGTGGTCGATGAGTCGGTCTGTTTCGGCATTACCGCTATGGGACCTATAGAGGCACCCGTAGACGTGCGGATGGTCTTCGCTGTCTACGCGTAGCCAAAGGATGGACAGGTCCGAACCTTCAAGACTGCCGAGGCGTCGAGAACAGATGTCCCCTCTGATATACACGCAAACTCCAGCCCGAGGCACAAAGTAGTGCTCCAATTTGTACCCCGGGTAGGAGAGATACGAAATATCAACCGGAGAGGAAACCTGCGTCTCAGTCAGAAAGAGCAAGGCCGGCTTCGCCGTCTCGAGATGGTAGTGGACGGCGTTTAGGTTAGAGTGAAGTCCCCTGATGTTGCAGAAATTCACGGATAGCGTGGCAGGGGTCGCCTTGGTATTGTTGCTCAGTTTGCCCCGAGCAGTTATGTTTTTGAGCGGAATTTTGCCCCCACCCCCAGAATACGCGGGGCAGCCTGAGCACCCACGCTCAGGATTGGAATAACATGGTCGTGGATGCTCAGCGAGGGATTCTCCAGGGGTACTGGTACCCTCCTGGGGTAGTCTTTCGTGTAATTCCGCTACCATGTTGATGGGGGGGGGGGGGGGATCGGGCCTCCGGCCACCTTCACTCACCAGACGAAACGCAGAAGCAGAGCCTCTACTTCACGCCGGTATTCTGTGAGGTCGTGGTACCAACCCGGCTCGAGCCGGCCCATACGTGCAACAGCAAAAACTGCTGCGTGGCTCTACCACCGTTCAAACTATAAAAATAATTATGTGAACTAAAGCATTTTATTATATTACACACGATGTATAGAATTACATTACTAATAAACAGCATTCATCTAGTACACATTTCAAAAAGGATTATCAGTCAGTCTGGTACACCATGTAGTTAATAACTTTACATTATATCCTGTATCTCAGATAAAGTATTGCTATGGTGTTTTCCTTACCCAACGAGCACGTGAAATCAACAATTATTTTTTTATAAGCAATACCACGGCCAACGGGACCAACGTAAAGTTATTTTCGTTTAAAAATTTAAGGCGACATAAATTTAAAAAAATATTACAATGTGTTCATACTTTTGCGTGCGGCAATGTTTGTAATTGAATTCAATTATTATTAAAAAAAAAATATTTCAATTTAACATTTCAAAATGTAGTGGCAGTGTAAGAATATCCACTACTCCACATCGTCCCGTAGGTGTTGTGAGAGGCAAAAGAGGGGAACAAACCGGGAGATAGGCAGCAGTGTCTTTCCAATAACGATTAGTCGTCGTAAAATAAAAACTGTGGTTTTCGACCCGCTTACCAAGTGTGGCAACTAGGGCAAAAATTCCTCCTTATGATGCAATCTACGGGAAAGCCTATGTTCGACATTGATGGACTGCAATAAATGAATCATCAAATTCCAAAATTATTACATAACTCACATTTCGTCCTGAGGTAGATTTAGAGTAACACTTCCCTTAATCTCATCACCATATTTTAAATAACCAAACACTCCAACTACGGCATACAGTGTAGCCACCAGTATCATTGTAATGTTAAGTACTCCAGGACAACCAAGAAAATGTTCTGGTCGTTTCATTTCGTTCTCAACGGGCATCACTACGTTGATTCCTTCCATAGCAAATATTGCTGTGCTAAAAAAAAGACATTTATAATACATAATCATTTCAGGACAAATTTTTTGAATGATCCGGTATAATTTATTCATAGAATAAAATACAATATAAATAATTTAAAAAGTAGAGTTCCAATTGTTCCATTTTTATATTCAGTCAGGTCATAATTTATTCAATAGATGGATTTAGGCCACAGTTGTTTTTACGTCAATGTAGCATGATGATAAGGCCGCCATACGCGCTCAAAGTATAAGATGCTGCGGTTTTCGAATCTAATATCATCAGGTTTGAAGACAACCACAATGTAACTTAGAGAATTTTATTCAGCAATAGATTGTTTACAGGCGAATGATAGACACAAATGGTTTAACATACAAAAATGTGAAAGTGAATATAGAATATGATACTCGTAAAGCGCAGGGGCAGCAGGGAGCATCGATAACTTATAATTTTAAGCTTAGCTGATGTTGAAAAAAGTGTAAATTTCTTCTTCTTCTTCTTTATTGTCAGCCCACAAAAGTCCACAGTTGGATTGGGCCTCTCCCGTTACAGGGAGCATTTGCCATAACCACCACAGAGAGTTTCAATTTAAATAGAAGATTTGCTATTGTATTCTTTTTAATTCTTGTAATCTATACTAAACAAAAATTATTATATTCTATTGTATGTATATTTATAAGTAGTATATACGAGAACTGTACAAGAAGGCAAAGTCAATTTGTCTTTTGTACTCATTTAAATATTTACTTAACCTAACTTAACTACCGAAGAGTAGAATACAATAAAATAGAACCATTTTTATTCAATATAGATTACATGTAATTCTTATCGAAAGTAAGTTTTTACTTTTACCAATTATTCGGAAAAAACTTTTGTCCTGGGAAAAATCAACAAGAAACCCAGCGGGCCTTTTTTAATAAAATTAATTTACATTATATTATTTTATATAGTGAGTATGAAAACATTTAGAAATAGCATGTTAGCGATCACCTCGTTCCCAAGGGTTATTATCAATCATTTTTATTCCTTAGTGTCCTTAATAAGCCCCTATGAGGCAATCTGTAGCTTATGTTCATTTGCCATAGTTGCCACGCTTTGCAAGCGGATTGACAACCACAGTTTTTTATTTTATTTGTAGTCGTTATTAGGAAGATGCTGCGCCCATTTCCTGATTTGTTTCCCTCTGTCGCCTCTTACGACACCCACGGGATGATATAGGGTAGTGGATATTCTCAAACTGCCACTAAACGGTCATTTTTTAGTTGTTTAATAACCCTTATCAAACAATTTTTGCTTAATAAGAAAATTTTACTTTTTGATAGATAAGGTCTGCATATTTTCTTGGACTTTGTAAAATCGTATACATTACCCTATGAAGGAATTACTGACCCTTTGGAGTCGAGTAACTGGTATAAATAACTTATGCTTGTTCCTAATATTAACAGAATATATATCACTATTTTTAATAAAACTATTTTTTGTTTGTGCATGTACATACTCGAAAATTTTCGTAAATATACTGCGAGGCCTATGTTTGTATATATATATATATATATATATATATATATATATATATATATATATATATATAATATATATTTTATAGGAATTTTGCTACTGCGAGTAGTGCGACTTACACTGAAACTCTTTGTTTTGCAGAAGAGAGCCATAAGACCAATTTATAACTTAGTTTCGAAGGCATAACTTCGAGAAAATTTAAAAAAAAATATATATGTATATATATATATATATATATATATATATATATATATAAGAAAAAATATATATGTATATATATATACATATATATTTTTTTTTAATTTTCTCGAAGTTATGCCTTCGAAACTAAGTTATAAATTGGTCTTATGGCTCTCTTCTGCAAAACAAAGAGTTTCAGTGTAAGTCGCACTACTCGCAGTAGCAAAATTCCATAAGACATTCTGCTATGAAAATAACTTACCTATATAAAATAATCTAGCCGTTTCAACACATGTAAGGCCTCTTATATTTTTTACAGCATATGCTGCAGAAATAAGTTTGCTAGCTAGTTTAGATATATGAGATAAATGAAAGACTGCTCTGTGGCGCAGTGGCTTAGCAATGAGTTGCGGCGTTGATGGCCGCGGGTTCCAATCCCGCACGGAACAAGTATTTGTATGGGCTAGAAATACTTGCTCTGGGTCTGAATGTTTGTCCTCGGAAAATACTATTGTGGAAGTAACGTTTTAGAACTAGAGTTCAATATTGTATACTAACAATCTAAGGTATATATTATAAAAACGGTTACATTTAAAAAAATGTCAAATATACCTTAAAAATAGCGGCCATTCCACAAAATTTGATACTAGTTTCACTTTAGAAAAATCGTGTAGATCGCTGAAGGTATAGTAGCAAGTAATAATAAATGTAAATAGAAGGCATATGTTTGCCAATAAGGAAAATGGCACGAGGAATTTTAAGTGCCTCACTTGCGTTAACAAAATCAGCGGCATCAACAAAAATCCGCAATACTCCTTCACAGTAAATGTATGCGATGGACTCAAATAATCTATAATCTGAAAAGATATATGTTCATGTTAGCAAAACTGTGGCGGCATAAGAAATCCACCAACCATATCTCATCTAGTGGATATCGCCAAAGTAGAAAATAGGTTTTATTTTCATACAAGTAAGGACTCATTGATGGTTAGTAAATATTAAAGACCATAGACAGTAGACCCTCTCTATCCTTAATTTAAGAATCAAAATGCAATTGCGTGTCACGTTTGTGGACTGTGATGGAATACCAATGAAACGAAGAAACAATAAGCAGTATTATGCTCGTATTATCGCTGGTATTATGTAAGAGCCTGATATTTCCCTGGAACGAGCCGACCAGGATAAACACCACGTCAATTACCGCATAAAAATCAGAAACATCTTGTAACATTGTACAGAGGACGTTATAACTATCTTGTTAGTTTACTTCCTGTAATTTACTCAAACTGGCGACGGAGGTCAGTGTCAGTGATGCGAGACGTCTGCTACTGGGACCGCCAATCTGCTTGATAAGTATGACATGTACAAAAATATATAATAATACATATTTTTTGTACCTGTCATACTTATCAAGTACTACAATATGTATATAAATATAAATATCCCCGGTCGAGCCGACTCATTCATGCTACAACTATACTACTAATATAGCTGCAGCATGGCTCTACCGCGTTGAATATAGCTTAATGCTGCTGTATTTTTTATTATGGTGAGTGTACATAACCAGATACCCTTTTTACCGGTAACTAGGCATTCCATCTTAGTACTCAGGGGTGACAATGTATCCACGTATTGATTCTTAATCGAGGATAGATATAGGTGTCTATGGACCACTGAATCCATTTACTATCAGGTAGACTGTGTGCTCGATTTTCACTCTTATTCTTTAAAGTATAAATAAAATACTAGATATTTTCACCGATCAACGAAACATTATGAATAATTGGATTGTTGCAAGAGCCATTTTTAGTTTTTATTTTTAGTTTCTGATTCTTTCATGTTTTTTTCCCTGTACTAAAAAAATTTTAAAAATTTAATATGTAAAACAACGTCTTTTATCATTAAACAATGCTGTGCATACCTTTAATTTAAATGCATATGTATAATGTATTTTTCAAAAATCGTGATATTGTAAGTTCCTTTTATGTATTAAGTTGGTAAGCCTTAAAATAAAATAAAACATAAACGTCTAATCATAAAACTCGATGTTTGTGAAGTAATTTTGACTTAGCGGGTACTATTAAGAAAAACACTGTTATCTTTGTACCGTATTTAATCATATTGTTCTTACGGAAGAGTGCGAGATTTGACATAGTTAAAGTTTATATGGAGAAAGAGTGCAGAAGCTAAAATTTTAAATAATATATGTAACGAACGAATTGATTATTGAAATAAATGAATATAATTTTTAATGAAATAAAATAAAACATACATTGTTTACGTTCATACTGCCAAAGTCAAACACATAATTGTCGCTTGGACAAGTTATGTTGTTAGTTAACGTTCATACTATGATGAGGTTTCTAAAGAACAATGTCAGGAAAATAGTTGACAAAAATTATTGTGTCTAGAAATAAATTATACATAAAATGAGTTTTATTATTTTTCTATGATTTTTAAATACAAATGTATTTTAATTAAAGCCACAGAAAAAAAAACATTTTTGGGACTATCAAATGACTTAATTCATTTTATTTTATTCAAGTGTTGCCATTTACTATATTCATACTATTTTCGTATACACGTATACTTTGTAAGACTACCAACACAACACACAAACACAAAATATTTTTGTATTAAGTTATTATTAGTAATAACTATACTATCAGTAATAATAAAAATAATAGTCATATGGTTGAAAATAAGTCTCTTACCAAGAACTTTCTACAATAATACATTATCTCAATCATAGTACTATGTTATAATTTAATTTAATGTTATGACAACACTAGCTAAAACAAAATGTCACTGTTTTTTTTACTGGCTTTACGGCTGTGGGTTCTAGCCCTTCTGAGAATGTCACTGTATGACACAAAGGCCCTGGAGCCATGCCAGAAATATACATTTATAGTATGCATGTATATAATAGAGATACAATAATCTAAAAACTCTCAATTAAGTAGGTAGGTACATTATGTTGAGAATGTATTAAGCTAACATCAAACAACCACAGGACGCATGACTTTTTCCAAATGACATAAGACATAACCTAAAAGGTTCAAATCTAAATATCTTTTTTAACGCTTTCTCAGGACAAAATTCTTTGACTGAGTTATTAAGGAACTGACGCTTAACATTTTAAATATGTTTGATATATAGACGATACCATTCCTTCTCAACTAATTTTATGTATGAAAGTCTGCCATTGTTCTTTAGGATGGCAAAGATTTAAAAAAAGTCTCTGAGAATACAGTTCAAAAATCTAACATATAATTATAAATATATTGAATATATTTTTGTATGTACTTACATCTTTAAGAGAACTTGCGATAAAAATCACGTAGACGCTTGTTCCTCCAAGACACACTCCAGCCATGGCATAGTCGACGAAATGCCTGTAAAATTTTGCGTTCGATTCTCATATCGTTATACAAAGTTATGCTACTTATATTTTTAATCCAAGTATCTAAAGTTGACGTATATGTACACAATTGTGAGAGAATGTTTGGGTCCATAGACACATAAACATCTATCTTCATTTAAGACGTGCTTGTAATTATAGCAAATAAAGATTTTATATCCTTGACAAAGGTACCTTACGAACTTAGTGATGCACGGTGAGCGATAGATATTGCTGATTCGCGGAAGTTTTTAGTTAAACTATTGCACGCGATAAGAAATTCATCCTATACCACAAGCGCAAGCGTTCATGACGGTGATCCAGATGCCTGAGCCAAACACTGCTCGAAACGGAGGATTAGCCAGAAGCTTATGGTGAGAGTTCAATGGTACCAAGACTTGCAAATGATAGTGCAGAAGCTCTCCCTCACAAAACCTAGAATAGTCAACTGATAGACGCAATTTCGTCTTCATGACATACCGGCCACATACTGCACAACAGTCTTAAAATCAGCAGGGCTCTTTTCCTCATCCACCATATTCTCCTGACCTTTGATATTATGTGATGACGATCCTATCTGTGATGACGATCCTGACGAACCTACTTTCAGCAATAGACTTTTGATAGGCTACTACTGTGTTTATAGCTTAGACAAATATTTTGATAAATTAAATTTTTTTTTTTGTAGTATTATTTTAATTTTCCCATACAAAAAGGCAATTTGAAGACTAACGACCTTATTCATTTTTGTTATGATATTGAGTGAATGTACTTTAACAGAAGTAATTCTAATTATTTATATATATATATATTTATATATATATATATATATATATATATATATATATATATATATGTATATATATATATATATATATATATTTAATTTTATTCACATAAAATAATAAAAGTTTTTACTTGGTAAAGCCATGCTGAAGGTATACTATAGTTGTAGCACGAATGGGTCCTCTCACAGAATACCAGCGTAAAATAGTAGCTTAACGCTGCTGTGTTTCGTATGGTGAGTGTAGAGAACCTATTTACTGGAAACGAGGCGTTCCGTCTTAGTCCTTACGGGTGACAACGCATCTACATTTTGATTCGTCGTTAAGAGAACTAAAAACTAATATTATCATTTTATTAATAGAATAATGGTGACAAACGAGCACACAGTTCACCTGATGGTAAGTGGTTGCTGTGGCCCATAGACATCTACATCTCTCCTCGATTACGAATTAAAATGCAAACGTGTTGTCACCCGTGAGAACTAAGAGGGGATGCCTCGTTTAAAGTAAAATGGGTCTCCGGTTCTCTACACTCACCATACAAAACACAGCAGCGTTATGCTTCTATTTTACGCTGGTATTCTGTAAGAGCGTGGACCTTCCCCGGCTGAGCCTAACCGTTTGTGCTACAACTATATCAGTAATAAAACTGCAACATGGCTCTACCATGTAAAAGATCGTACAATCTTATTACCCAAGTTATTTTGCAAAGAACTCTTAATGTGTTTCCTCGCAGAATGTTTAGCCTTGCTTTGTTATACTTGCCTTTGGTTGAGCAAAGAATAAAATAGTTGGTGATCACCTGACAAATTGAGTGTATTTTCGTAATTTCTTAGGTCCATGCTTGAACACATTCTCACATGTCTCTGTATAAGTGTATGAACTAACGCGACACTGTCTGCAAATTTCACGGGATGTGCTTACCTAGAACAGAAATAAATATATTGTTTTGTATCTATTGCCCTTTCCTTAACGTGATTATATTAATAATCAATTATGTTTATCATGAAGTATGCTACGGTAGTTTAAAAAATAAACGCTCACCTTGAATTTAATTGTACGCGATTAGCCCGAGTTCGAGCCCCGCTGACACCAATGCAATTTTAATTGTTTGTTAATTTACATAAAATATTATATTGTAAATTGTACTTTTAAAAAAAAGTTCTGCTGGGTTTTTCCGAACCAGTGGTAAAACTAAAAAATGACTCTCAAAAAGTATTACAAGTAATCTATATTGAATAAAAATGATATTCTAATGTTGATTTACAACGTATCTGAAAAATAAAATATTTCAATATTTCCCATAGTTACATTATAATATAGTTAGTTTTTATAAAACCCACAAGATGAAATAAGGCGATCAATTATTTTCCCTTTATCCACTATCGCACAGTTTTACAAATACAAACATTTATTTTATATCTACAGATAGCCGTACACCGTATCAAATTCATTTTATATGCATATCCCTATCGAACACCCAAGATGCTTAGTATATGATCATTTTTCCTCTACACTAGATACAGCAAAACTTTTCAGGCAAGGTTAATTTGCACCCAGCAGTAGGTAATAAGATCTACATAATTGACTTTAATAAACAATAGTAACAAAATTTTAGTTTAGTATATTTTTATAATGAATTAATAAAAACAACTCTTACGAATATATGAACGCAGTGAGTAGCAATCAGACCGACTAGAACCGTACCGAAACATCCGGGAATTAGTCCAGTGTGTTTGAAGGCAGCGGGCATAGCAAGCAATCCTGACCCTAAAGATGATTTCAGCAAGTGAAAAAATGAACCCAAAGTCCTGTAAACAATAACGTAACTTTGATTATTATTTATTATTGCTTAAGAGAATCCATCACGCCATATTCTTCTCGTGGGTGTCGTAAGAGATGAATTTGGGGAGTGCCAGAAGAATATAGCTTCTGATAGATGGCATATCTAATTCATCAAAATTAGACGTAGAGTAACCAAACTGGTGACGGATATTTACGGACCTACTACTAAGTAAAATAGTATAGTAAATGACTGCCTCGTTAGTCTACTGCTCATAAACGAGGTCGCTGATCATGACTGATATATACTTGGTAGAACCATGCTAAAGGTATATTATAGTGGCACGAATGGGTTTGCGCGACCGGGGAAACATCACGCTCTCACAGAATTTTAGCGTAAAATAGCTGCTTGATGCTGCTGTGTTTCGTATAGTGGAGAGAACCGGAGACCCTTTTTAATGGAAATGAGGTATTTCAGCTTAGTCCTCAGGGGTGAAAACGCATCTGCATTTTGTTTTCTATATTGAGGATAGTCGTAGATGTATATAGGTCATAACACCCACTTACCATCATATAGACTGTGTACTCGTTTGTCACCAATTTTTTTTTTAAATTAGGTCCTGCGTTGGAATCCCGGGACGGGCTAATATTAGTTATTGGATTTATCTGTCGAGAAATTCCGTGCCTCAAGAAAGTCTGTCAAGAAATTCGGCCGTTCCGGTCGAGTATGAAGGACATTATTATTAAGTAAATGGGCCCGGTAAAGAACAACGATTAGAAATAATATGTGTGTACATCAAAAAGTTATAGCTATAGCTTTTTAAGAATGTGATATGACCACCCCGTTTCTGATTTTATATTTTAAACTTCTTGCAATCTTATATCCTTGACTAAATATTTCGATAATATTTTTGCTCCTTTGTAAGACCCAACCTAGGAAATTCTAGATTTAGATATACATCATATTTTGTGTTACGATTTGAGTGCCAGAATAATTACAGGTAATATACGTGTTAAAACCACGCTGAAAAATATGAAGCACTCGCACGTAATACTAGCATTAGTTGTACGGTGAATTAAGAGAACCGGATATCCTTTTTATTTGTAAAGAGTCATTACTTCTTAGTTCTCAAGCCGAATCAATGACAACGTGTGTAAATTTTGATTCAATCAAGTGTAGACATAAATGTACATCAGGCAGTATGTGTGCTAATTTGTCACCCTCTTCTAATCTAAAAAGGGTCCAAATTACTCTTAAAAAGTTTTTTTGGATGTTGAAACATGTATCCCATGGTTGCAATAGTCACTCATTTTCAGTTGGGTTTAAAATTTATTCGTCGCGCTAACATGTGAATCTTATAATATTAGAGTTCAAGGCAAAAGTGAATAAATAGACTTTTGTAAATATAAGCTAGTACGCTTTTACCATATTCGGTTAAATCATATCTTGCCATTAGATCAGATAGTAATTTGATAAACAACGGCTTCGTATATATATAAAAAATATTGATTTTTCTATAAAAATATTGTCTTTTTTTATTAAATAAAATACTTACGATGTAGGGTGTGTAACATGACGATGTTCGAAGGGATTATATTCTTCTTGTCCATCAACTTCCTTTTCCGTAATATTTAGCGTAGACGTTGACTGCATAGGTAATGGATCAGTACTAGTATTGCTGTGAAAATATAATTAAATATTTCATTATTTGTCCTCGCAGTAAACATGTAAGAATATCCCCAACTCATTGCGTTCCGTTAAGGTGTTGTAAAATGGATTAAGGAAAGTGTCACACCGTTCTTATCGACAATGTAAACTAGTGATGTCACTATAATAATAAAAGAATAGGTGTAAAACAGATCGTCTACCTTCACTATTAAATTTCCAGTCGCTTATTGATATTTTTTTTTTATTTAAGAAACTACACAAACAATTGAAATGAATAGTTTTCAGGTATTCCTATGCAACTAAACGTCAAATTAGACTGAAACGTGGTCCTTCACTGCTGGCCGTATAAAAATACGGCCAAAACAGTCGCCATGCTTGTCAGGTGGGTTAGGTATCGCAGTTCCAACTTCGACACTTCTCCCCGTCAATCAACCGTGAATTAACTTACGTCATATACAAGATGAGATCTTTCTAGTCTTTAACATAGTCACCTCTTACGATGCCTTATCGGACACTGATCATACTCATATCAGTGATGGACACTCTTATACTGATATCACACGGCTAAAGCAGCGGCGGAGACGAGACTATACAGTACAAATATAAATGGAACATACATACATCAACTACTGTGAGCACTGATTGGTGTACTTGCTTGTCCTATATACAGTTACCTGCAACTGAGTTGGTTCTACATCCTATTACTACCCAAATCCAACATTAGGATTAGGTTACGTACTGCTTTTAATGTAGGCGTATGTATATCTCGTATTGCTTTTAGCGTTATTGCGTACGAACACAAGCTTAGAAATAAATTGTATTATCTCAATAACACTTGATATTTTTTATAAGTAATTCTTTCCCGGGAAAAACAACGTTTCTTATAATGAAACTGGTTTTTAAATAATGACCAACAAAAAATGTAATAAAAGAGTACTAATACACAAAGCAAGTTAGCAATTCATTGTTGGCCGTGTATTCAAATTCTGCACACAACACGTATTTAGATAATATCAAATTATACTGGTATGCAAATTATTATTTCAGATCTGGGTGTTTACGATAGTAATATATATATATATATATATATATATATATATATATATATATATAGTGGTGGTCACATAATTAAAGACACTAAAGGGATATTAAAACAACAAAGTTTATCTACTCTTTATTTGCTTGTTGAAATTTAATACGAGCTAGAAACAATATTAAAATCATTGAGATATTCATTGTGAAATGTTGGAATTAAACATTGAAAATAAACTTCATGTCTCCCGAATATTTATTCAGTTTAACTACATTTAGACCACCCTAACATAAGAAAAGAAAAAAGACTTGGCCAACTAATTAAAGACGCACAAACTAAGTAATCATAAAAAAAACAATATTTTAAATATTGAAATCAACTTTATTTTGATAAATTTAAGACATATTATAAAAACAAAAAACTACGTTATTAATATTTTGTTGCGTGTCCTTTAGCAGCAATAACAGCGCGACATCGCCTTGGCATTGATGCGATCAATTTATTGCAAGTTTCAATTGAAATTTGTTCCCATGCTTTTTTAAAAGCCGCATAAAGTTGGTGTACGCTAGTGGTATGTTTTAATGCCACTATTTTCTTGACACGTTACCACAAGTTTTCAATGGGGTTGATGTCAGGGCTGTAGGGTGGCCAATCTAACACAGTTACTGCCTGGCTCCCTAGGAAATCTTTGACAACTTTTGCTATGTGTTTCAGGTCATTGACGTATTGGAAAGTCCAAACCACCGGCAAACTTTCCTCGGCATAGGGTATCATGACTTCCTCTAAAATATTCTTGTACTGGAATTAATCCATGTTCCCTTCTATTTTCGTGATAGGTCCTATACTATGACCAGAAAAACAACCCCAAACTTTAATGTTTCCGCCTCCATGTTTTACTGTTTTCTTCGTGTACTTTGGATCCATTTATTTTTAGGAGGACGGCTCACATACATTTTTCTATCAGAAGTAATCATATTAATTTTCGTTTCAACAGAAAAAAGTACATTTTTCCACTTATGTTCTGTCCAGTGTTCATGTTTTTGGCAAACACTAATCTAGCTTGGATGTTTTCCTTCTTTAATAGTGGCACCTTACAAGATATTCTTCCGAATAAGTTTGCTTCACACAATCGCCTTCTTATCGTTCTTGCAGACACTCCTCTCAATCTTTCCTCACCAAATATTTCTGAGCGAATCAGTTCTGATCCTTTAAACGGTTCCCTTTTTGCCAACAACACTATTCTCGAGTGTTCTCGTGGGGATGTTTTTCTACATCTAGTCTTCCTGGGCACATTTTCAGTAGTATTAAAGTTATTAAGATGTCGGATAGCATTCATAACCATATCTTTAGAGCATCCTAACTGATCTGCATTCTTTCTATATGACCAACCTTTGCCATAAAACTTCAGGATGGTCTTCCTTGTAGGGGGTCGCAACTTTTGTTTTTCAACTTTTTTTTAACACTAACAAAATTTCATAATTTCTATTAAGTACGAAGCTATTTTTTATTTTTATTCTATGTACCGTGAATATTCGCGCCAAATGAAAAATAACGTAATTGTTTTAACATTATATTTTAAATTTAGAACACGAAAATCACACAGTCTTTAATTGGCTGGCCAGCGGTTAACTAGTCGAAATTTTTTTTATTTAAATTTTGTTTAAAAAAGGAATAAAATCTCAACTATAGCTAAATATACGTTTTTGATGTTTCCATTTTAATAATACGATCTCCGTGTAAAGATTAATAACTATGAAATACAATTAATACCTACTTTGGGTACTCTACACGTCTGTAATACTGTTGAATGTGGTCTCACAGAAGAGTGTCTTTAATTATGTGACCGCCACTTTATATATATATATATATATATATATATATATATATATATATATATATATATATATATATTTAAAAAAAAAAGAAGAAATGAACAATCTTGTTTTATGGTAGTAGACTGGTGACATTTGATGTGATGACGATACTACAACACACGTTAAATGTATTTTAATACATATTATATGGGGTAAGTAATATCAAAATTATGTAAAAAAATATCGGAAATACATTCAAAACTTGTTACACAGAGTCGAACATGCTAATAACCTTGGGCTTACATTCAAAACACAACCAATGTTTAACCAGCATGTAAATGTAGCAATACGTTATGACTTTTATCTTTAAAGGCATTATAAAAAACCTTAGTTGAGATGATAGTATTATAAGATTTTAATTATTGTGATACCGTCTATGGCCCACGATTATATGAAACAACAAAAGGGTAAACTCGCGAAATTAACAAGCTTGAAAGCCTTAAATTTGCTAAATTTTCCATGTCGTAATATAATGAACTTCAAGAGATATATTTAAATTTAATCGCGAAAATTTTGGAGGGTAGTATAAAAAAAGCTACTCAACATTTAAAAAAGGTTGAAAAGGGCTATTTAATAAACAAATTCCTTTTAGGACAGGATAAAAACCTTTTAAAAATATTTTCATAAACACATTTAACGTTATGATAAAAAGGTAACATCACTTATTACACAATTAACAATGTGCGTTCGATCAAATAGGTACTTAAAACAGCATGGACTGCAAACCAGTGCTGAACTGAAAGCCATTGCCCGAAATTATATAACATCTGATGCATCTACACGCGGCCTACTTGGGGACCTCACCGTGAGAACATCCGCACCATATACCAGCAAGTAATTGAACCTATTATCACTTATGCTGCTGGTGTATAGACAAATTACTACACCCAGCAGAGAGAATTGAAATCAATCCTAAACACACCACTACACAGGCGGAAGTCGACGCTCTTGTTGGACGTGAGACAACAAAAATGTTTACAGATGGCAGCAAATTGGAAGACGGAGCAGTTGGCGCTGCTTTTGTCTGTTACCATTTCACACGACACACCGACAAAACCACTTAAACATACAATAACGCACATACGGAAAGCTCGATAGAAGCTATAAAGAAATATAAACTCCACTCAACGTGCACTGTATTCCAGGCTGGGCTGGTCGCAATCCTTAAGGCTTGTGAATGGGCAGCTGATAAGCGGTGCACGCATACAGTAATCTACACGGATTCTCTTTCAGCTCTACATTCCATACAAGATAGATCCAATACACACCCAATTCTCAACAAGTTTCACCACACTATTCACCGACACAAATGTTTTGGCACCATCGACTTTGCGGTCAAGAGTCATACTGGCATATCTGGCAATGAGGCAGCAGACATGGTGGCTAAAGCAGGAGCCAAAGCACACAAGGCACCTGACTACTTCGCATCACCTATGTCTTACATAAAACACATAATCAAAATTGAGACACACACTCTTTGGCAAACCAGGTGTTCAGTAATAAACCGCAACTCACAAAATTTATACCGAGGCACAAAGATCTGCTGCGATCTGGACGCCGGTTACACCTAGTGGCAACATTGCGACGTAATATTCGTTGTAATAATCTTTTTTTTTATAGGAGAGGGGGCAAACGAGCATGCGGCTCACCTGATGGTAAGTGACTACCGCCGCCCATGAACAACTGCAACACCAGGGAGGGAATTGCAGATGCGTTGCCGGCCTTTTAAAAAGGAGTACGCTCTTTTCTTGAAGGTCCCTAAGTCGTATCGGTCCGGAAAAATCGCTGATGGTAATCGATTCCACAAGGAAGTCGTGCGAGGAATAAAACATCTTCTAAATCTAAATCTGTGGAGTTAAAAAACGAAGAAGAGGGTAGGAGGTGAGACAAGCTAACATACATTCTCTTTGTGGTATCGTGATGTGAATATCTCTCCAAAAACTTTAAAAAGTGACTACTCCAGAGTGTACCGTGTACAATCTAATTGCTAGTGTACAATCTATTTCTACCGTGTAGAAGAAGCTACCAGGTGCTGTAAACGTTTGCTGATCTTGGGAGGCTGGCTAGTAAGACCGTGAGTAGTTTGTTGCTGTTTTTGGTGTA